GGAACTTTCGTAGTTTTTCATGGTTATTTTTATATTTTCTCATGCTATGCTTTCATTATATTTGTCGTGTTGAGAATTGCACTGACGCTGTGGGCTTTTCAATGCCGTTTCGGAAATGTGACTGAACGAGAGAATGCCGGAAACAGCCCCGAGTCGGAGCTTTCCAGTAAGGGAAATGAGTGGGCGATTCTCTTTGTAAACAACCGATTCTAATTTGCTTGCATTTGGCAAAAGTACATGGTATAAGTGTAAAGTACAAGACAATTAACATCCATCAAGTACATATTCTGGAAAACGTCGTCCTTTTCTTCTATCTCTAATACAAAGCCATCTTTTTACGGTTAGAACTTTACCGTCCAAGGAAGTTTTTTTCTGTTCAGTACCCGATTATCGAGAGGTGAAAGGCTTAGATGGGTTGTGATTCATCGAGAGCTTCAGGGCTAGCGGAACCTAAAGCCGTTAAGCCTGCTCAATTTAGCGATATCCGCTTCGGGAGCGATGGAAGCTTCAGCAGCCATAGATCACGTCCATTTACCCCAATGGAGGGGGTGTAGGGTCTAGGAATAAATTTCCTCAATCATATGAGCCATACAGAGAGAAAGGCCGAAGGAATTCGATGCTATCATCCCTTCAAAGGTCACCTTCTCGAGTGATAACTTGTTTCAGAGGGAAGGAGATGGAGGAGGGGAAATCGGGAAAGAAAAGAGGAGGGGGAGAGGTGGTGATGGAAGCAGCGTAGTTGTACTGGGTAGCGTATGATGTCTCAATACTATACTCCTTAGGTGCCTAAGTTTTCAGTAAGGGCATTGAGCCCATAGTTAATCATGACACCAAAAAAAAAGCCGCCTTCCATGGTAAGCAACCACTGACTTTTGGCTGCTCGTCAGAAGAACTCTCTGCTGCTTACATCCATTTCTGGATGTTTTCTTCTCATTAGAAGCTGCTTTCGCTCTTGCCACTCGTTTTTCTTCGTCCGTTTCGAGACCTCGCTTGAATTCAATTAACTCCATCCGCCCGCTCGATTTCTCTGAACTTGTAGCGACTGAGTGAGTGGTCCCATATGGGTGGTCACCGGAACATTTTTCCCCTCACCGATGAACGGAAATTAACAACCCCCGCTCATGCTCAGCTAACCATCGGCGAACTTCAGTGGGAGCTGGAAAGCGGTGCTGTACTATTCCGGAGTAGCTGCCAAAATAGAAACCCCCAAGCCTTTGCTGAAAATCAGTTCAGCGATTTCCCTCTCCATGTTTACCAAGTCGTCAGTTAGTTAGAGTTTCTTCTCTTCTGGGCCCTAACAGCAGATCCCTAGAAGGGGATTCGGACTAGTTGGAAGCTACTGCATGAGGGCGACTCAACATCTGCACGTTATCGAACGGATGACGGCTCACACCCAGTCAATGGGTGTAAAAGTCGCAAAAAGGTTCACATAGTGGCCGTTCCCGTGAGTTTGACAGTAGTGTAAAGTATTGTTGCTATTTGAGAACTGCCTACTGTTCGTAATGTGGCATTTTAAAAATATACAGCAGCTCTATCGGAGTGGGTGTAAACTTTAGCTTCAGCTGTCGGTCCCTCTCCCACTGAAGGAGCAGGTTTCTTACCATAACAGAAGTTTTTGCCTACGCTCATGTTCCAAGCAATCGATCACAATAGCCATAAATGTCCAGAGTACTGCTGTAATTTGTTGTTGTTGTTGTAGATAGTAGGGGTATTCTCTTTCGGAGAAGATAGCAAATGACAAAGTCCAGACCGAAGAGTCGCCTGTACTGGACGAGATTCGATCTAATGGACTATTGAGTCGAGCAAAGGGAACCACTAATTTACCTTGGCTTTAAGTATGCGTATTGAAGTAAGAGATGTCTTTAGGTAGGAATGAATTCTTCTCTGACAGCGGGTTCTGACCAGGTGCATTTACTCATTATTTGATTACTCGTTTACCGGCGGAATGAGAGTGACCTGAGATTTTCGAATATCAAGAGGTACGAGATGATACAACCATTGATACTGGTCTATCTGTGAAAACAACATTTTAACAGGATGACGTCTTGGGCGTCATCAAACTCGTTTTTCCGGGATGCGCCCTAGCATTCGACTTCAATTGGCTGCTTTCATAGTCCACGATTTGGCGAGCGACCGATCGCTCGGTCGCTCGCTCGATAGCTCCGCGACCGGTCGCGCGATTGGTCGCTCGCTAAATCGTGGACTATAAAAGCAGCGATTCAGAATCGACTCGCGGTTTGAATGCGTATACGGCTAATACAGTGACTTGCGGTACATTCAAGTGCATCTATCCTTCCAGATGACTTTGGCATCAATAACCGACCCAGAGGAATGGTAGGCGCGACTAGACAAGTATCGATCGAGATTCGAACCGTAAACCATGCGTGTGTGATAATGCGCCATGTGCCACTGACCCACTCGAAAGAACATGACGACTCAGGAAAATACTTATTGGTATCATGTGAGATCATACAAAGCTTCAAGCACTTCTTTTGATAACCCACTGATGAGCAGTCGAACTTGTAGTAGTAACAGTAGAGCATATTTAGACGGTAAGCTTTGATTTAACAGATTTTTCTTCTTCAATATTTATAAAAGCTTTCGATTTGTATGTTAATGTAATTCGGATTGGCGTTGATTCTACCAGTTCTTGCTCACTGATGAGCTCATAGAACGAAGACAATTGGCAACTAATTGGTTTTGGACCTAGGGCGGCAGGCAAAACGGAGAGTAATTCACATTTCTAGCCCTTCTCTTCCACCAACAATCCTTCTACCCACTTCCAGCACCCTTACGAATTGGGGCTGATGGGGAATGCAATAACTTTTTCGAACTCAATGGACTTCTCCACCTTATTAACTTTAGTCGGCAGCGAAAATTCTCTTCTCAGAGGCTCAGAGGAGCGGTCTAATTGCCTCAAGATTTTTCTCAATCATTTTTCAGTATAATCTCAGATCTAATGGTAAAAACGGAGGTGGTGTAGTGGTAGATGACGCTTTATCATATGTGCAGGGTCTGGGGATCGAACCCCAGATCGAAGTCCACCGAAGTACACCAATACTTCCATCTCTCCGGGTACCGTACTCGTCTGAGAGAATGAATGTAGAATTACTGGAATCATCGCGATATCCTTCATGTGGTGGTGGGGTTAGTGTAGTGGCAACTGCCGCCCTATCACACACGGATGGTAACGTGTTCGAATCCCGAATCGATTCTCGCCCGGGCCAGCCAATCCTTTCATCTCTTGTAGCCTAAATGGTACCAGAGTCGTCTGGGAGGTTAAAAGCACTGACTTGTACATCTGTTGGCCGTTGCAAGTCATTGTATACGCCAAATGCGCAATCAATACGCTTCTACAATTCTGAATGAAAGTCCAGAGCGGGGGCGCATTCCAAAAAACGGGCCTGATTGACTCCACTGACTTTGATCATCTTTTTTCTCAGTTGTTCAGCCCAGTGGATTTACACACTTCATAGGTCCGCCCGCTTGAGGGTTCACCAGAAGGATGCTCCTCATGATAGCCGAAATCTTTCTTGCAGAGCGACTGCTCAAAGGTGTCTGAATGAACCCTCCTTGTCCTTCTCTCAAGGATAGAGCAAGTCCCTAAGATGGACCAAATGCGGCAAGAGATAAGAGACCTAATTCAACGCTTAGTCAATCTCTGGATTAATTGATATGACGCTTAGGAATGAAAGGGACTATAAGGGCTGTTCAATTCTAAGACCTCCTTCCAACAGGACTAAGCGGGGATGACTTCATCTGTGTATAATTGGTATTCAGCCTGACGACTTATCCCCTTTTTCCATGCTTTTTCCTCTTGAACCTGGCCGGACACTGACCGCGGCTGAATCTCTAAAAATCCTAATCATTCTATTGATTCTAGAACAGTTTCTAGCTTTGTTGGAGCAGTTCCAGCCATTTCTCTGTGGGCTCAGTTGCTCTCATGGCCATTTTGGAACATTTTGAGAAACGCCCTCTGTTTCATGGCAGTTTTCTCGGGATAAAGTCGCGCGAAAATTCGACTTATCGGATTAGCTTACTTGTAATCCTGAACTTTTAAGATTCCGCCATTACTTTCCGAAAATGCTACAATAAGATTTCACGCTCATCGATACCCTATCGTTGATTCAGAAAAAAAGTGGCTATGAAGTCATTCGTTCGTAAGCAAATCTCTAGGCAACAGCTCTCGTCAACTGGAAGAGACAATTGAAAAGGGGACCTCGACGCCTGAGGAAGTCCTTTTCCTGAACGAGCCCTCATCGTGCCCAATCATAAGGGCATCGCGTCAGCTTCAAAAACGCGGAACCGACGCATGCAGTGTTTTTCTGAACAGTTGGCAACAGAAAAAAAAGAGTGGAGTGGAAAAACTCAAAGTCAACGAATTGACAGCACAGACGACAGCCAGCCGAGCACCTAATCCACCGGAGAACTCTGGATTTCGATCGGTCGAAATTGGTTAGATTTGACGTTTGGCAAAAAGTAACCACGATAATCCAGTAGCTGGTCTATGACCACCAACCTTCGGAAAAAAGCCAATTACCCTTTGAATTAAATGAATGAAGTATTAAAGAAAATTGGCAGTTACTCAGTTGTCAACATTAGAGTTTGTCGATTTCAGTGGAACAAGGCACCAACATATGAACTTGATAGTATCTTGGATCAAAAACGAGCTTACCAGCCCACATAACCGGAGTTTAGGGCCACAAAACTTGTGATGAACCGAAAGTGATACATGGAACTGATTTATTTATGCTCGTCGTCTACCAATTGAAAATGTGTGTCAGCTGTAATTACGGACAAACTTGTTGACTCACGCTTGGCACAGCTTTTGGCTATTTGCTCGTTACATTTTGCTCATTTTTCATTTTGTCCCCACTTTATATGTTTCTGGCTACTCCGTTAATATGGATCACTGTGTCATTATTTATAAATATGCAGACTTCCATTTTTACAGTAATCTCCTAGATATTCATAAATGCTATTTTTACTACGATTTTCTGATGACTGAAATTGTACGAAAACGTTCTATACACATACGCGATGCAAGGATAGCAGGGCTTTATGATCTTGAACATACAATTGGTCAAGGACACTTCGCGGTAGTAAAGCTGGCACGCCATGTTTTTACTGGCGAGAGGGTGAGTGGGATTGTTACTTTTCCCATACCTTTCTTGAATTCTGCGCAGAATTTTTATTATCAGTTTTCAGGTAGCTGTAAAAATTATTGATAAAACTAATCTCGATAACGATTCAATGGGACATGTGCTACAAGAGGTAATGAGCTTATTTTGACTTCTGCTTTTTCGAGCAATTGCTTTAATTTGATTTGCTTAGTTAAATGCAAGTTTCTTCCTTTTTTGATGTGGCTTATGAATGTCTTGGGTTGACCAGCCGATGTACATGTCAGCGTTCAATCCTCTCAGACAAGTCTGGTACTAATCAGCCGATCTGAGGGACTTGGAAGGCTCGGTTGGCGAAGGCGGGTATCGAGCCGGAGTTCGAACACTGATCATGCATGTGTGATAGGCGCCACACCTCCGCCGAAGGCAGAAGGCCACAATACCATCACCACCACCGACCAAATTTATTTTAGTTTGGAAAAAATGCAAGACACCCTAGAACCGGTTTTTCTTTTGTATTCCAAACACAGGATTTTTAGTACTTCATGTTCTCGTCATGGTGATAAGAGAAAAACATTTGCATTTCATTTAAGCTTTGCACGTTCACTCATCATGTTCATGTTGAAATTTTTCACAATATCCTTTTATGAGTTTGCTTTCGTGATTCCGTTTTTGTTAGCATCTGTAGCATATTTTCTTTTGAGGTACGATGTATGAAACTGGTGCAGCATGCAAACATTGTGCGACTCTACGAGGTTATCGACACTAAAACAAAGATGTTCCTAATTCTTGAGCTAGGAGACTATGACATGCACGACTTCATTATCAAGCATGAAAATGTATGGTACCTTTCCTATTTTTAATCTCACCATACTTCGAGTCTGGGACTTAATGGGAAATATTCATTTAGGGTGTCGAAGAATCGTTAGCCCAACAGTATTTCTGTCAGATTATAACTGCAATAGATTATTGTCACCGTCTTCACGTTGTCCATCGTGATTTGAAGGTGAGTGCGAAGATTTTCTTTTCCGGTCCAGTTCTTAAAAGCATCTTTTTCAGCCTGAAAACGTAGTGTTTTTCGAAAAGCTTGGGATGGTAAAACTAACTGATTTTGGATTCTCTAATCTCTTTGAGCCTGGTGAACAGTTACGTACGGCATGTGGTTCGCTTGCATATTCTGCTCCTGAAATTCTCCTTGGTGATGCTTACGATGCGCCTGCAGTAGGTGAGATCATTCAGCTATGTACCTTGACGCTTCTTTTACAAACTGTTTCAGACGTTTGGTCCTTGGGGGTTATTCTTTTTATGCTGGTTTGTGGTCGATTACCTTTCCAAGAAGCTAACGACTCGGAAACCCTCACCAAGATTCTCGATTGTCGATACAGCACTCCTGATCATCTCTCCAACGCCTGTCGAAAGTGATTTTTCGTGACCGTGAAATATTATTTTTCTTACAATACACAGCTTTTAAACTTTTCTTGATATTTTTTCTTTGTTTTTTCTCTTGAAAACAATATTTAGCCTGATCCAGCGTATGCTGGTTCGCGATCCGTCGAAAAGAGCTGGATTGGCTGAGATAGCCTCAAATGCGTGGGTCATGGCAGGTGATCGAGGACATGCTGCGGTGTGTTTAGTTTTCCGATGTCGTCCAGATTTTGTATTATTAGTGGACTATTCTATAATTTTCAGGTATTACCTCTGATAGTTAAACATCACCTGCCTCACTCTGCTCATACAACCATAATAGAACAGATGGTGGCAGGTGGAGTAGGGTCAGAGGAATCCATCCTCAGGTACAAGCTCGTACTTAACAAACACATTTCCTTGTTCAATATTCCTCTTTAGGGCTCTCGAGAATGATGAGTACAATTCAATGACGGCGACCTATTATCTGCTGGCTGAGCGCATTTTGGCCACATGTAGAGAGGAACAAGCAAAGGAACTCATGGCAAGAGCAGGAACTAAAGTACCCGACGAAGAGTTACAAGACAGGTAATTTGTATTCCACTGTATTCGTTTTTTCTGCTTCTTTCAGATTGACTCTTTGGAAGACATTAGCTTTGGCCACATCAGAGGCTCATTAATCGATATGCTTTCAGAATTAGTAATTTTCAGTGAATCAAGATTACCCGCTGCTACGCCTTCGGTAGGTTCGCGCTGTCGTAGCAGATCAAATTCCTGGCGCGCCCGTCCGTGCACTATCTTGAAGGAAGAAAGCGAGGAGGAACTGTCTTCATATCTCCGCTCAAGTCGCCATAGTAGTCGGTCCGTTTTTTACGCCTTTCTTTACGTTAATGTGTCCAGTCTTTTATGTTTCTAGCTATATAGCCTCTAGTGAATTGTGCTGTCTTGTTCATCATTGTGATTTTTCTTTGCGTACTGTGTTCTTGCGAGGCTATCCAATTCTAGTCTTTCTGTGTCGTTCAGATCTTTTTCCGTCGATGTTCACAGTGCACGTGATGCTTCACCGCTGCGAGTTCCAGTCGAAGATGTCCGTGATGTGCCTCGGAGCTTGGTTCTCACTAAACCGCCTCAGTTCGATGACCTCTCTCCTATAGCAGAGCATGGCTCCCCCACAGTACCACTGAGCATCAATGACTCAAAGAAGAGCACCTCTGAGCTGGTGGCCGCACAGCGAAGGGCTATGTTTGCTCGTACGCTCTCTTGCGGTGCAAATAATACTGCTCGCTCAAGATTCTCTAGGTCCGACGACGAGGACTCATCTGGAGGGGCTTCACTGTCCCGTCGGCAATCTTATGCGGGGCTTCTGGATTTTGCACGCAGGTGGTTACGTTATTTGCATGTCATTTTTNTTTTTAGTTTATTGCCTTACTATGTTTTGCATGAGTGATGTCTGCTATGTATGCAACTTTATGGGCCTTTGGGTTTTTTTATCAGCAATATCTTGAATTGGGCATGAGCTGTATGTGGTAACTGACGCTTCCACAGCATAATTTTGCTTACACTACTGAATTCGCGAAATTTCCTAGTCGTTTCAACCTATATTCGCAGAGGCATGGTTGGAAATTGTTAAAATTATGTGATTAAGTTCGGAATTGACCTATATTCGTGCCCAAGGTCAGTCTATGTTAGTCGAGCGGCAGCGGCAGTGTGAGGCTATTTGTGCAGTAGTTGGAGCTTTTTAAATCACAACGAAAGGTTCCTTTCTTGCGGGTCTCCTACGTTTTATGTTCTCATATGCCTCACTTTCGGTACTTCTAATTATATAGGTACCACTGTATTTCCAACTTTTAATGCCTCCTGAGTGAAGGGAGTGTAAAGTTTTGCTCAAAATCAGTGTGCATGAATTCATTTTCCCTATTGTTCACTAAGCCACTTTGGATGTTTTTGTAGGACGTTTGCGGATTGGGTAGAGTAAATGCTACTCTAAGCAGCGATGTGGATCCATCGATTTCTTTATTACAGGAATTCTTCTCCATCAATCTCAATGTTTAGCGGAACCCGCGATCGCGTGAGTCCGCAAGCAGTCCAGGATCTCATGGAATTGTGTCGATTAGGTAAAATGCTGTCGTTAGCCTCGATGATGCCCATATTTCTTATGGACATCGAGCAATTGCCTTTGTGCTTTGCAGGTGGTAGTCGACGTGCTGTAAGTCCAGAAAGTATTAGAAGCAGCCGATCACCGTCTCCTCCAACTAGTAGTGGGAGGGCCTCCCCAGGTTTGTTATTGAGTGTCGATATTTTCGCTCTACTTTTGTGCGATTTTTTGAAATCACGGTTTTTTTCACTGTCAGGTGATTATTTCACAGAGTTTGCTTACATAGCTGCAAATGAAGTAGCTGATTCAGCCATGTCATCGCTATCTTCATTATCTCGCTTGAAAATCGCGACATCTTCGCTTGGTGGTGGCATGCGGAAGTTATCCTCTTCGCCGCACTTATTGGGAATTTGTGAAGAAGGTGAAGACGTGGATTCCAACACGGTTCTTCTCACAACTTCTCGGCAGGGGTCCACTAGATCCAACAGGTACCGAGTAGTTTCGTTGTTTTTTTTNNNTTTTTTTTATCGCAAGTTTCTGTTCAATACGATATTCGTTTCACCGTAGGTCATCATCGACTGGGCTTTCGCATTTACGTCATGGAGCGGTTCAAGCAGCAAAGAGTGCAAGCGTACATGCTCAACCAACGTATAGGTTAGTGGTGTACTCCCTTGTCTAACGCTTCTCATCAATCACACTCACATTTGATAACGACTAATCTTTTTTCTAATGAATCCCCTGCTGTGATATTTGCTGGCTCTAATCACACAAGAAAAAAGGTTGCGGGATCGGATATCATGATACGCTCCTCCAAGGAACTGCCTCTTCAATAGTATCAGTTAATTAAGTGTCTCTACTGAAGCCAGACAGATATTAACCCGCTTGTGTTGTACTAACCCATGGTTTTAGTTCGGTGCGCATGATTCGCCCACGTCATGCAGTAGTATCACCAGATGTTTGCAGGCGCTATGACCAGCATCAAAAACTTATCGCACGTAGTCGCCGCAGCACAAGGTTTGCTACACCCTTTATCTTTTTGTTAAGTTGATATGATATTCTCTTGAAGTTGTTCTTCCTCCGAGGCGTCCGATGATGAAGAAGGAAAGCGCTTGTCGATCCTTGGCTCAATGTATTGTGGTAGAAAACGAGACGGTGATAACGATAGAGATGACACTGCTGGTGGCCAAGGTATTTACGCTGTAGCTTTGTTCGAATCCTACTATATCAAGTTATACCTTACGTAGGTGTGAAGGAAAACAGCTAAGCTACTCAATGGACTTCTCAGGTCCACTGTTATTGGCAGCCTTTCTCCAAAGTCATTTTTTGTGTTTTGAGCTGTGGTTTTTACACATTCCTTGTATCGTTAATATTATGCAATGATCGTCTTTGGTTGGCTAGCTGAAAAGGTTTTCTCTAGGTTTCATATCACTATGGCCTAACTTGTTGAGTTGTTGAAACCCAGTTTCTACCCTCCTTGATTAAGTCGATTTATTCACTGAAGACTTGAAGTATGTGATATTACGCAAGCGTTGCAGCTGAGTGGGCTGCTTCCTGTGCTCGAGGCTCCCAATCAGGCTTCACCAGCCTCGTTGGGGTCCGCAAAAACCTCATCGTTCATTCTATTGTCGCCTGATTTTTACTCATTTCATCGACTCTTGTGGTCATGAATGGTGGTTAATACGCCGGCCAAGCATAAAATACATGTGTGGAAAAGCAACGATGATGCTGAACAAGAGCAATTATTTGATATCATTCTGGGGTGGGCGGAATTGGTATTGGGATTCCTAGGCCATTACTACACGCACATGGTCCGGGAATCAAATTCCGTCTCTGTACTCGTTTTACCACCTTACCTCCCTAGGCTTCCATCCCTTCCGACTTCGTCAAATGCTACCGAACACGTCTAGGTGTGATGAAGTCTGTGACTGCGCTTGTATTGCACTATCGGGTGACTGCACACCCTTTAGGCTTACCTCATATACGTGATTTAAGGCATACAGTCCCTTTTGAGTTGAAGCCTATCGTGCATTCCACTTTAAGGCTCTGTGATGGTGGTTTTTCTCGTGATGTTTTCTCGATTCTTACGCCATTACACTAAGATCTGATCTAAGATTGGTTAGTTGGTTAGACATTGTAGGTTATCATGTAACCTTACCCGTTGTGAGTTTTATTGATTGCGCGACTCTTCCATTCGATTCTTGCCTACTAATCCCCTCAGTTTTCTGCCTTGTGTTCCATGTGTTTTGCCCATTCACGTAGCAAAATTAAGTCCATAGAACCAGAGTTCAAAAACGCAACAGTGATGTATAAGTGAAGGGGCTGGGTCCAGATGTGTCAACGTAACCACGTATTCTAAACAAAGAATGCCGAGATGTTTACTGAATGTCAGAAGAAATCATCTCTTTTCAGGGGGTGTCGCGGGAGGTCCTGGAGGAGGCGGTGATGGTGGCAAACCTTATCTGGCGTGTAGCGGTTCGAACACAAATGGAACCGGGGATTCGCGTGAACGGAGGTTTGTGTTAGTCAATAGGTTTTCAAATCAAGTACTGCAAACTGCAAATGAGTCTGCATTGTTTGTTTGACCATTCAATTGTGCATGTAGTAATGGTATAGTTTTGGCTATCAGTTTCTTATATATGAAAACCCCTTTAAAAAAGAGAATTTATTCAAATTGATCGCTTGCATTGTCTGTATTATTAAGGACTCGTTAACTTTTGATTTTCAACATCCCACCAAATCTTTCAAACTCTCTTTCTATTGCCATAGCCTCGTGTAGCTTGTCAACCTCTCAAGCTGTCATATTTTTGTGAAGGTTGTAACCAGCCAAAGTTTCTTCATACAAAAAAAAANAAAAAAAAACCCGTCAAATACAACTCAGGGCGACTCGTTCTGAAACCACAAAATCCTGCAGGTCTGGAGGAGCGGCTGATGGATGTACATCTACTGGACAACAACACCTCTGCCCAATACCAGAAATGACCCATCTTGATAGTAATAGAGGAGACTGTCTTCGCGCAAAACTCCTTCATAGGTCAGTCCTATTTTTAATGCATAGAGAAAAAGGCCCCTGTTTTTAAACTTCCTTTATAGGTCGCATACAGCTGAGAGGATAGCAAGAGATTGGGCTTCAGTGTATACAAGGGATTACGTTCGGGAGATTTCATGCTTTGGTACACCTCCTAGGGATGTTTTGAACTTTTCCTCGGAAGAAAATCGAAGTGGTGTAGACTGCTGGATTCATAGTTTAAAGCGAACCCGTTCGGATGACGGAATGCAATTGGTAGGTCTACTAGAAATAGTCTCGCAATTTAATCTGTCCTTGCAACTCATTTCAGGCCCACTACGTCGATGGGGATAGCTTAGGTGATTCGGTGTTCGACGCTCCAGCGGAATCAGTGCTTTCATCAGTTAACGATATACTGGAACGGAACAGCGATTCGGGATGTTCTAGTGAGAAAGTGTTCAAAATTTCAACAAAGAAGACTGGGCCCGAGGTAAGGCCAATTTCAATCAAACTTTTAGTTTTTCAAAGTGAGAGTTCTGTAAACTACTCCTTTTTGAAATGGATGTTGGGTCATTCAGAGCTGTGAGATCTCTTCGTTAACATCTCTTCATCCATTGCTTCTTTATGATCAACCGCGTCGTGAAAAAGTCGATATTTGGCTTCGTTCTACTCATTTCATATGAAACAAGCAATAGTTACTGGTTTAGTTTTTCTTGCTCCCCGCAGTTGACTAGCAACTTGCTCTGATATTATGAATCCGTTTGAAAAGCTTTTCTATTGCATCACCTATAGTGTACAGTTGTTCGTTTTATTTAAATAGCAGCAGTTTTATTATAGTGAGAATATTAGAAATGTTTGCATTTTCCGCAAAGTACAAGTTCATGATGCGTTACGTCCTTAAACGTTACGCTGTGAGAGTATTTATTGCTGGTTTATATGGGTTACGCACATGTTGATAAGCTGATGACTCGTCTTTTGAAGATCATAAGGTGGCATTACGCACAGTGTAATGTTGCCGTTTTTCTGTTAATCGTATCCTTTCACTAACAATAATTCCTGTGACTCATACAGCGTTATTAATTCTCAGTCGTTGACCCTGTCGGTGTTCTCGTGTTATTCTTTCGTGTAAGCTTATTAATGCAGACTTTTACGGCTGTGCTAGTATGACGGATTGCTTTGTGAATGTAAATAAAACCACCATAATAAATTCTATAAGATCTGTAAACAGTGTGTTGATTATGCTTTCGAGGACCATAACGCCGTGATAATATCGCTTCATAAAAAAGTTCTACTTTTGCGCTATAAGACCGCGTGGGACCTTTTGAGAGTAATGGATTTCGATTATCAGTGATAAAGCTCCTTGTTCATAATTGAGAGTCAAGTATCCCGCGACAGAACGTTGGAGATCGATTAGTAATATCTGCCTCATTAAAGGCACAATTTGCTATAAGAGTGGTTTTTGAGGGTTACCCTAGGATGAACATATTGTCTCCAAGAGCAGGGATAGCCAACCTTACCTGTCTTACAATTAGAGACGGTTCTACCACGAAGAAATATAGTCTCTACCTATGCCTTAGGAGGAGCACCAAGGTGAAAGAGATGATAATCTCCCGTAAAAAGCTTGAATGGGGTAAGAGCTTAACATTCAGACCACTCATCCATCTTTTGCTACTTCCTCCTAAAGTTTAGCTCAAAAAGGAGTATATCTATATTATATTCGTTTTGTTTCCAGAAAATCTGATCTCATTTTTCATACTTCAATGGAACATGGACAAAAGGCAAATTCGTACGATTTTCTTGTTTCAATACAAGCTAGGACGAAAAGCTACCGAAACAGCTCGCGATATCAATGAGGCGTTCGGCCCAGGAACAACTAATAGACGTACGGCACAACATTGGTTCAAGAAATTCCGCAGCGGTGATGAGAGCCTCGAAGATGATGAACGCAGTGGTCGGCCAACCGGTGTCAAAGACAATCGACTCAGTGTCTTGGTTCAAGCCAATCCACGTGCAACTGTTCGAGAACTCGCTAAAGAGTTAGGCATATCGTCTTCAACAGTTTCCAAGCACCTGCAGCAGATTGGGAAGTCGAAAAAACATGGTAAATGGACGTAGTGCAGATTGAACAATATCTAAGGAAATTGTTGGAAATATTGTACAAAAGTTTATTGAATCGATTCCGTTGTTTTTTTCACTTAATAAAGTTTCGTTTAACCTTAAGTATGCTTCTTCGGAGTGAAAGGTTGTAAACCGCAAGAAATTTCTGACAACCCAGTACAAACCAACTGTTTCAGAGAACAGCTAATATTTCAGGATGATCTGGCGGCGTTTAGGCCGTCAAGCAGCAAGTGAATACAGTTCAACGATCGTCAAGAGGGCCTTCAGCGCGACTACCCTGAAGTGGCCTTTGCCGGAAGATAGCCAGGTAATCTACGCTTGTTTCCTTTCTCATGACTCTTCTATTTCCCTATAGTTGTGTAGTTCAAAGGTGTTTTGGAACTAGGATTGCTTTTGGGAAGAATCCTGGCGTGTTTACCTCTAAATTCGAGTCCGCGGATTTTGGTCAAACTCAGCACTTCACGCGAAGAAGGAACCATCAAAATGGAAACGCAAGTGGTTCATACCTGCATCGAAGGTCGCATCAGATCATTTTGACTTGCAAAGGGTCGCTCGTTCAGAAGGGCTTATTCAGATGCTCATAAAAATGGTAGTATTCTCAGGCAGATTCGAATTTGTATGATTAGTAATGCGATTAGTTCCATTTCGGTGAGGCTCTTGAAGGGGGGAGGGGGTGATCATAAATGAGGACCGACCCTACTCCAATTGTCTTAACGCATGTATATAGGTTCGCTTATGTTCCTGATTAAGTTTTGTCTATAGTTTTTTCAGCACTTTTCAACAGTAGTAGTATTGTTCTAACTCAGAAAAAGTATTTCCTCACGTGAACTAGAATCGTTGTATTCGCAGATCTGTAGAGTAAAAATAAGAAATTTTTGAGTCAAATCGGCAATGTAACTTGGCAAAAGCGGCTCAATAGATCCCCTGTGGAAGCCTTACAAATCCTTATATGGGCAGCCATCAGAGCCAGGAAAAGAAAATCGTCTACCATAAACTAATATTTGTCGCGTATTATGTTTTTGCAGTCACGAAAGGTTAGCGACCGATTACTGGAATTGCAATCTCATTGGAAGCCTATTTATGAATCGCAAAAGCTCGATGAAAAAAGAAAGGTGATATTTTTCACTAGAGTTTGTCGAATGTGATTATTTGTCCTAGTCCCGAATTACACAGCTATGAATTGCTGGTGAAATCAGTTGTTCAAGAAATATGTAGGTAGGGGAGGATGGTAAACAAAAGGGAGGCATGCATCTATTGTAGGAGTTCCCTCATACCACTGGGTCTTTCTGCCTTTTCAAGAGATTATTTCAATTTCTAAGTTGATTTCCTTCATGTCACTGTTTCCTATGTTCTTAAGTTTCAAATGAAGTAATTTGTCAGAGTTGTTTTTCTGTAATGGTGCTCACTTCTCAGAAGATTTTGAAAGAACATGAGCTTTTGTTCAGGACCGCGCGTTGTGAAGGCTGTATGTTGTTGATTTTCAGGATGGCCCATCTAAATACATATTGTCAATGTTTCCGTATCCATCGGGTTCCTTGCATATGGGTCATATGCGAGTTTATACGATTTCTGACGTTACTGCAAGATATTTTCGGTTAAACGGGTACGATGTAAGTAGTGTATTTAAGCAATTTCGTTTAACTTAACAATCTGCCCCTTGTTCAGGTAATCCACCCAATCGGTTGGGATGCGTTCGGATTACCAGCAGAGAATGCAGCTAGAGAGCGAGGTGTCGATCCACGGCAATGGACATTATAGTTAGTTCCGTGAAATTTTGAAGGGTTCAAAAGTTGTTGTTTAAACATTCTTAAGAAGCTTTGAGGATAAATTGCTCATTAAAGCAAATACTGCCGATTTTGAAGTTTCTTTCTCTCTTCAATCATGCATTCTTTAGTAACATCGAATCAATGAGAAGTCAGTTGCTGAAGACTGGGATCCTTTTCGATTGGGATCGGGTGAGTTTACGAACTTGTATGTATTTGACAGTCACTGCACTGCATTACTTCATAAGTACGTTAAGGACGAGCTTTCACAGAAAGTGAGGGGGAGGGGGGTAGCATTTGTTGAGCTGATCAGTAATTAGGATGTTGCAGTACTTGTAAAGATGGTGCAGTACCAGAACATTTTGAAGGCTTCCTGGAATTTCACTTGCAGGAAATTTCAACGTGCGATCCATCATATTATCGCTGGACTCAATGGATTTTCCTACGATTGCATGAACACGGATTACTGCGTCGAAATCTGGCCGAGGTAGGAATGACGAGTTACGGGGATGGACGACATCTATCCTCCTGCTGTTTATTGCTTAGGTTAACTGGGATCCTGTTGACAACACAGTGTTAGCTGCCGAACAGATTGATTCAGAAGGAAGGAGTTGGCGAAGTGGTGCTATAGCTGAAAAGCGCAAGCTACGGCAGTGGATGGTGGAGACTCCTCGATATGCAAAAGTATTTTTGCGATTGGAAACCCATGAATAGTCAATAGTACAAGACTAATTATTTTATTTTAGCGCCTTAGCGATGGGTTGCAGAAATTATCAAACTGGCACGAAGTGGCTGACATCCAGTCAAATTGGATTGGGAAATGCGATGTTTACCGATTTCTGTTCCCGCTTAGGGTAAGCAATTTTTACTGGGATTTTTCGCTCATTCCCAAGTGTTTCCGATTTACTCACAAGATTGGTGAGGTAGGACAAAATTCCAGCTTTACACCGGACTCTCACCCATTATTAAGAATAGCACAAGTATGGGTTCGGGTCCCGTCCGAGACCGATGGTTTGTTCATAACTTGCAAACTTATGACCTTTCGGGTCGCGTACTACGGCGAAGTAAGCAGTTACAGAGCATCAAGTCAAAACATCTGGAGTTTTCCCTACATGGAAATTCGTCAAAATTTTTCAAGATCATTTAGCCGTGATTTCAGCAACATTTTCATTATTGGGGAGATGATTGCAATTAACGCCGTGGGTTGTTTTTTATTCATACGGTGTCTACATCATTTTTTTCCTGCTCAAGCCAATAGATTGTAGCCTTTGTAAGTTTTGACGTTAAGCCAATTGATGGGGGGTTATTATGAGGTTTAATTTTAAGATTTGCGTCATATGTTTCCGGGTACAAAGTTGTTTCTCGGCAGTACCCTCAGTCATGAACTTATTTACTTTTAAGTGGTGATCGATTACCGGGTCCATTCATTTCACTTTACTCAACGCTTCTGGAGTTCTCTGAGTTTTCTCTTCAAGAAACATGGTGACAGAGAAGGACGGTTGTACTTCTACAGAGTCCATCACTACTTTTTTCTAGTAGTAAAGAGTAGCCTCAAGTCCTGATTCCGTCCTGACTTTCTGGCCTTCATGTAACATTTTTAGAACTTAAGAACTTTCTTTGAAGGACGATAAACATCAGCCAATGGAAGAGCTTCTCGATCTACGCGTGGAAGATCCAGTCAATGTTGCTCGAGCCACGTTCATAGTTATTCGTCATGGTCATCCACTAAGCGATCATGAGCGGTCCTCTGTTGATTCTCCTTGTGAGTGTGATGAGCCTCCCCACATTTCCGTTTGTACAGGTCCCATTTCTCTTTGCTGTTGCTGATTATCGGCTAGAAGTTTTAGATTGTCTTGGCGTTAGTGTTCTGAATGGAATCTCTGGGGTATGGATGCCAGTCATAGTTGTCCCCGAAAACTATGATGGTCCACCGATGCACTTGAATGCCAGGTAGAAAACTGTTTCTCTTCGAAAATTTTGTTGGTGGAATTTTCTAGAAAGATTGCAGATGTGGAGATCTAACGGCGGATAGACCATTGTTGGAACAGTTCAAGATCGCTCGAGATCAACGAGCTCTCATGCCAATGAATCTCAACGACGTCCAGGAAATTGCCAAGGTCTGTTTCTTAGGTTTAACTGCAACTATACCACATTTATGCTCAGGACTTTCCAGTTCGGTAATTTCGGAGGATACATGACATCGAGAACGCTTCAAGACTGGGTTGTGAGCAGGTGAGTAAAGAAATATTTCTTGGAACTGTAACGATTTCGTTTTCAGTTTTCTTAAAGAGAACATTTAGACAACGCGCCTGGGGTACTCCGATTCCAGTGATTCTGAGTCCTGATGGAAAAACAGCAGTGCCGTTGGCTGATAATCAGCTGCCGCTTCTCCAGGGTCAGGAAGCAGGCAGGAAAGTGGCGTGTGATAGGTTCGTGCTGTTCACACGTTCCGATCGGTTTTTGTATCTTGTCAGGGTGGAGTATTTATCAAGCGTTGAAATCTTCAGCTAGATCAAATCTTTATACGGGGAGTAGGTGCCGTAATCATGTAAGGTTACCAAAGACTTTCGAGTTATCTTTTTATTTAATTCTACTCTACAGGTTAGAAGGAGGTGAAGGTTACTACGAAACGGATACGTTGGACACCTTTTTTGATTCATCATGGCAAGTCTTTTGTATGGAAACAATGTCATTAAAAACCTCCATTATTGCTTTGCTACTTAAAGGTACTATCTACGCTATCTTGATCCGAAGAATCAAAACGCTCTTCTGTCTCGTGAAGCGGCCACAAAGATGCCGGTGGACATCTACGTGGGGGGCATCGAGCACGGTTCGAAACTTTCTTACCCTTGCTTCATTTTCCAAGAGTTCCAGGTTAAGAGCCCATTTTTCAGCTGCGGTTCACATGTTCTTCGCTCGATTTATCTCGTACTTTCTTACGGACATTGGAGTCACTCAGGTTGGCTGCTTTCGGTATTGTGGAAAGGGAAGTTTTTGTGAAATAACGGGATAACAAAAATGGGAAGCGTAATAGAATCCTGCAGTAACAACCGACTGGCCCAGCCTCACAATTCACAACGCTGAAAATTTGAACTGTGCATGGTTTTTCATGGTTCTGGCGGATTTAGCTTTGAGTGACCGACATAGGAACATGAATATTTTGGCACGACGGGAGGCTCACATTACTTGGTTGTCAATCCATTTGTTGTATAGGTGAAGCTTGTTTCAAGCGTCCCCTCAGTTTTGAACTGCGAACACTGTATGATGCATTCTAAATTGCTACATTAACGCTTATCAAGTTGTTGTTTTTAATTTGCCCTTTGTTGAAAAGGCTCACAGTATAGGAAGAGTTGATCCAAACCCAGGAGGGCGAGCGCAGCAGGGTTGTTTTAGAGATGCAAAAGTGGAGTCCCCATACCTTAATCCTCTTCCTATTACAGGTTAACAAACAGTCACGCTGTTGTCAGTAGTGCTTCACAGTGCAAAAATGCAAACGTCAACTCCATCTAATTCAGGTTCACGAGCCTTTTCGAGACCTTATACCTCAGGGCATTGTTCGTGGGAAGACGTTTATCGATACAGAAGGACGATATGTTCCCAGAAGTGATGTCGTTACGGAAGGTTGGTACTCTCATCCACTAGTTGTTTCCCTCTTCAGCTACTTAATCAGTTGATGCTGATGTTCCAAACCCAAGACAGTTTCGAACTTTTTATATTTGATAAGAAATCTCTACATTGTAATTAGAAAAGTAGGTAAAGCAAGAAAATATTTCTAAGGGAATATTCCAGGCAATGACTATGTGAGTAAGGATGGATCCAAGTTGAGTATGTCCTTCGAGAAGATGAGCAAATCCAAGGGAAATGGTCAGTTTTTGGAGTTTTTCCGGGCGAATTTCGTGGCTTTTTTATACAACACCTATTTGTCCTGTGTAGGAGTTGATCCACTGGATGTGCTGGAGAAAGTTGGAGTTGATATGGCCCGGCTACAACTTCTTGACACAGCAGCACCTCGTCAAGCGATTAATTGGGAGGAATCAGGTGAGGAGCCTGTTTTGTAGCTAGAGTGGTGTTTTGTAGCTGAAGTGGTATTTTTTAAGATCTCAAGGGGCTCAAGAAGTGGATCGATCGGGTCGCTTGGGTTGTGTCTGCGTACATTGAAGTGAGGAAGCGTACGGTAGAAAAGTCACTCGAAGTTTCCACCACCACTTCAACGATGGAAGAACACCTGCGGGAGTGTTACAACTACTTTGTTCGAAATGTTCGTTTAGAAAAGTTTTCGTGCACGTTTGAGTCATTTGAAGATGGGGATTTGTGAGGAACTATCTCGATCGTTTATGAGTCGTCCCATCAGGAGCAATCGTGGCCAGAAATTACTACAATTTATGTAGAGTAATTATATAGGTGATCTTCCATTCCCACGCGCTAGACACACAGCGATCACAGTGAATATTTAAACCACCTCACTCCTCTCGAATCTTTTTGAATTTGCTTATCTTTTCTGGGATGAACAGAGCTCAGTACTTTTTTCGAAAGCTATTATTCCGTTGCCAAAACTTTTTGGTACCCTAAACCTTCTATTTAAGGCTTCGGTGTGCCTTGAAGTTTTCAATCTACACAATACAGCCTTGGCGCGGCTACAAGGATTAACTAATGCCCTCCGTGTGAGTTCCTTCCCCGAGTCTTTGTTGTTGTCTGAAAGATCAAAAAATTCTTCCAGAAAATCGATCCTTCAGTCCTTGGAAGCAGTCCTGAGGCAGAAAGATGCATTTTTGCTTTAGTGACTATGATGCAGGTACTGCGAGAGCGAACTTACGGCTCGGAGTTGTCGAACTAAACCTGTTTCCAGGTTTATACGCCATACTTAGCTGCTGAGTTATGGGCAGCCCTACAGTCGGTGCCACCAATCCGAGCCGAAATAACGACCTCCAGTCGTCTCGATGACGTTCCGTGGCCGCAAGTGGATCCTGATTGTGACATCGACTTGATTCTTATAGTACGTTACTTGCTATGCCCCTTATGCAAAGAAAAGAAGGAAATATCATGGTTGTCGAAAGAAGAAAGAAGGAAAGTCATGCGCATGGTGAGAGGCCTCGTAGAGTCAGGCTGCGAGTGCATCGATAAAAATGATGGAAAGATCCCGAAAACTAGTTCAGGAAGAGGAGGGAGGGGGAATCAACTTGTTGCGTGCGTGTAGTTGTAAATGAGTAAACTCTGATTTGTTTCGTTAAACCCTGTCCTCGCGACACTCACCGTTAGCAACGTCCAAGTGAGCAAGAGAGGTGCATTCAGCGGTCTGGTGTCTATTCATTTCACTGATGCTTTTCCTATCTCGGATTTTTAGGTGAACGACATTGTTTGTGGCCGAATTGAGGCTCCCCGAAAGGAAATAGAGCACTTATCGATGGAGGAGTTAATAGCCCGAGCTAAATCTGTTGAACATCATGATATGTTCGAGAGTCTTGAAAAGAATGGATTCACTTTCAAATCCATTACGAGAACGGCACGAGAAGGTGAGTTGGAGAAATAGCACACACACACTAAATATTTTTCCAACTTTTAGTGAAAGCGTCTGGCGTCTCGTTTACCCTCCTAATGGGAAAAGAGACCAACGTGGAGGGAACTGTACCGTGTTCACTGCTGTAGTCAATGAAAAAAAACTATAATATCTGAGAGCACACGTTCTCCTCAAACAGAAACGAAGATTCAGTCCGACACTCGGCTCTTACAGTAACCCCTGGCTTATCCTACCACCCACCCCGTGTCCTTGCCCAAAACCCCTTTTCGACGCGTTGTATATATGACGGGTAAAAATTTGCGTATTAACACTTGCCGGATTACTGTAAAAGCCGAGTGCCGGACTGAATTTTCGTTTCTGTTTTCCTCAATCCTCATGAATCATGTCGATCAAGTAATGCTCTAAGTAATTTTGTCGCAATTGATCACTTGTCCGGCATGACCTGGTGCTCTGGCTTCATCCAGTAGTTCGTCGTGGGAAGAAGAACATCTAGGCATTCTTCAACAGTGACTTGCTTTCCGAATGATTAAAAATGCTATGGTTTAAAAATAATTTTTTTGGGTCGCGAGAGCTTCGTTCGATCACGTATCACTCACGCCAAAAGCGCAAGTTTTTATAAAATCGATTGAAGTGAAAAGGGTGAACCATGCCGAAGTGAATTATGAATTAGAGAGAGATTATTTCGTCCTTCGAGTGGGAAGCAGAGTTATATGCCGGACGTATGGCTAAGTATGGTCATTATTGTCCATAGTATCTTCCGTTTTTCCTCCTGATCTGGATTACCCAAAATTATCGTAAACTGTGCCTTTAAGAACCAGCCCTTTACTATTTTTTTTTCTTACTGAAATAGATATTTCAAAGATATTGTTTTTCAGGCTTCTTTGTTACATTAAACGTCTTATTGGAAGGAAACGTCGATACTAAAGAAGTAACTCGAATCTTGGGTGATCTCCAACGGAAATGGCGGACAGAAAAGAAAAAGCAAAAAAAGCGGGTTGCAACGGCATAGGAATAATTGTGAAGTAGTTAGGAGTAAAGTTGGTTGAATACAAGCAGTGAAATATTCGAACTTTTTTTGTATTTAGTATACGTAAAGATGGGCAAAAAACACTTCGAACTGCAATATTCCCATTGTACTGTATATAGGAGAGAAGAGAAGTATGGGAATACCCCTTGAAGGGAACAATTTCAATAGCACCTCAGTGTCCAAAAAGCCCTTTGCCCCTCCCGTCCTGATCTAGCGAGCTTGGGTGAAGAACATTTGAGATCTTGGTGAAGTTTAAATTATTATCTAATTTTTGGAATGTGTACATGAGCACGATTTTCCATTAATAAACAAGACAGAAAGAGAAGTGGGCCCTCAGAAGTTATGACAATTGAGTTGGTGTGGTGGACTTTGTATGCGAATTCCCACGATCGCTGGTATACACGCGGCTGAAGCTTCGCGGCAAAGCCATAATGGTTCAATGGAACTCCGAATCCTGAGCTTTCACTGCGTGCTCCGATACACATCAGGTGCGTCGAGCATTCCGCGACGTTTGGGTGTAAGACGTCTTCAGCTGACATTACCTTCGGGACTGATTTACCGTCACTCAATAGGAGTAGAAAGCAAGCCCTTTTTTGGTACTGATACTAATCTCCTCCGGCACAGCTCTTCTTCAACATTAGGCGCTAGAGCGTAAAGAACGAGTGGTAGCAAGCTCTGCGGGCTTGTACTGTTGGTCTCTGAGCAAGAACCACTCCAGTTCATTGCTCGAGATAGTTATCTCGCCTACTCCGGTGCTGCTCCCATCCTAAACCTCATTGTCAACTGAAAAATTATACTCCTCCGGCTAAAAAACGTTTTCAGGCATTCTCACAGGCTTTCAGAGCCGGCTACCCCGCCTTTCTACTCTCCAACACCTCGTATTGAGTAAGAAAGTTGTCCCCAACCCATTTTCACCGAGTTCCTGATTCAAAACAGAAGAAAGGCCAACGAATGTGCAGCTTTGTCAGGTGGTGCGGAAGATTCTGTGATAATTGAATGAGTGGAATTCCAGTATTGTTCAAGAATTCCAAAAAAATGTTGGAGGGATTGTGAAAAATGACTAATCATGGTAGGGTATCATTATGGGAAGGGGTACATTTCGCAATACCTTTATTATCGCCATAAAAGGAGAAAGTGGCCGTCACATTTTCTTTGCTCCACTGATCTGTTAACCGACTCAATCTTGGTCGCTTGTTAAGTAGTATGTTCAGGATTATTTATAGAATGTTCTGTGCCGTTGTTTCGAACTATTTGTTGAATTGTTGAATTTTGTAAGCCTTTATGCATATATAAAATATTTCCGTATTCAGCTATCCTATGTATTCACAACGCTATGGTATTTGACTATTTTAGCGGCGTTATCTGATTGAAGCCCCTGAAAAGATCCCTTACTCTAAATAAACCACAGGTTTGAACTGTATGTCTGCCTGTTGTTTGTTTGTTTCTGTTTGTTAGTGAGAATGCTGTTGGGGTAGGGGCACACCTATTCTCTAGTATTAAGCGATAGAGTGTTGCTTTGAAGTAGAGGTAGCCGATTTACCTATTTTTAGGGACAGTTCTTAGCCAAGAAAATGTAGTTTTTCACCTGACAGTTTTACCAGTTTTTTACCCTTTTAGCTCAAAAGAGAAATATCAGGGTGGTTGATGTTTGATGAGATGTTTACCTAGCGCAAAAACCGGGAATGAGGTAGGATCCGGCTAAGTTACCGACCGCCTAGCTCCTTCTCTGGTAAGGCTTTATTAAAGAATTATGTTGCTCTGGCCAAGAAACGTTACTTAGTGCTTTTGAGGGATTGCGGAGCGGGCTATTGCTTTTCATAACGTACATGCCTTTGTGGTATGAGTGTACATCGTTAGTTTTTGAGACCAATCGTACAACACGAATTGGTTAGCTTTAAGCTGAAAGGTCCAACGAGCGAAGGGGTAGTGAACAAGAGATTTATTCTGGATTATGATTCAGTAGGCCAAAAATAAATTCTGAAAAATTCCGACTACTATTAGATGTGCCCAATTTCATCTCTGTACCAAATCAACAGGAAAGACCGTTTTGTCATGCCTTTCCACTCTGAGCACGTTGTTAGTGTAAAGGACTGGTTACGGTGGCCCTACCGCTGCAACGGATTCACGCCAGCTGCACCTTTTTGAGGCGTGTGACACGTCCACTGGAGGGCGTTCCATTCAAAAGTGGCGTTGCCTACGGATGTGAAGCTTCTGTTTTGCTTTCTTGACTGTTTTTTCTGACTTACATCACCTCTCTTGACACGAAATTTCCCACTCGCGTGTGAAAACCATTCTCATCATTAATTGAAGTTCTGTTTTTTTTGAAGCTACCTATACCTAGTCAACCTGTATATCTGTTGGACATCCAGTTAAATTAAGTAGCGGGAGCTTCGACCTTAGAATATACTGAAAGGCCTTCAAAATCGCCGTTCCATGGGTCATATAATCAAGGGCACATGCAGTCATTACTGATGTTTAGATGGGTATTTCATGAACTCAGGGATTGAACAGAATTGAGTTGCATGGTAGAAGGGGTTATACATAACAGTTTAGTTTAAAATTCCCAAAAGACAAAGGTTTTTGGGGTTGGAAGCCCCCTCTTTGGGGTGGATTTGGAAAGGAACAGGCGGCAATCGGTCGGGACGTCGATCTCACTGCATGTAGTATCACTCAAAATAACAGAAGGAATAAGTAGCTATCATAATAACCAGAATTAATTATTAAAATTATAACTATTAATTATTAGAATTAGTTATCAGAATAAATAGCTCCAGTATGAGAAGGAATCAAGTTGATAAACGGAGCAATTTGAACTACAGAACACAAACATAACTGCTAGTGACAACTGTACAACGGCATTAGAAGGGCCTTTGTCACCTCTTCTTTAGGCCTATTTATTCAGTTCCTTCGAACAGTTCAATTGAGGTGGATCCACATTCGATGGATCTACTCATCTAACCTTTGTTCTGATTCGTAGTTGTGACTGAACTTGTATGTGGCCCTACAACACATTACGGGTCACAAATCATCTCCTCTTTCCTCCAAGTCTGGTACAACTGGTAGCGGGACCTCTCCCGAAATCCACGTTAACTAGGGCCTCATGCGAAAATTCCTTTCTCGCAGCTTCGAACCGCAATTACCGTATTCGTCCCGGGGTGTGCGGCTGTGCGGCTACATGCTTTTCAAGCAGAAGTATCCATACTCGCTACCATTTGAGTGACCACGGAGAGATAAAGGGTTCGGTTACTGTGGGTGGAATCGATTTTGGGCTTGATCTGGTAAATGTACGTAGTCAAAAAGGCTGAAAATGTGAAAAAATCGGTTAGGAGAGGATTGCACAAGTGAGCTTTAGGTGATGCAAAAAGTTCCCAAACAGTTATAGGTAAGTTATAGGGGCTGAATCAGATCTTGATGCTGTGCTTCACGAAATTGCTCGCCTAGTATTTTCCGAGAGACCTGATTAGGAGGGGTGATTCAGCTCAGGCAACGGTTCGCTTCCTATCGACATTATATCAAAAACTCATTGCCATTACGCTTATCAGTAGTGTTCGATGAAGCCTTGTTCCAGTGTTTTCCCATTTCACTTCTTCTTTGTTGTCGGTTTTTTTACTCCTTTTAACTACTGTGGCCATCTTTTCCGAGAAGTTTTTCCACCGGGGTGGCCAAAGAATCACATGTACCACCAATTTTATCTCCCTTTGTAGTTTGGCCTGAAAGACCGTTGTTATATTGAGAATGAGAACGCAACGCTACTAGGATAGGAGAGTGGGACCGGTTCAAAGGGGCAAGTGATTCAGTTGGACCATCACATGTGACTTTCA